CCTTCTCTGCCCTAGGAGCCTGGGATGGCAGCAGGGGAGCTTCTTTCTGGGTGCTGGGACTGGCTCACCTTCTCTGCCCTAGGAGCCTGGGATGGAGGCAGTGGGGCTTCCTCCCAGGTGCTGGGACCAGCTGAGCTTCTCTGCTCTAGGAGCCTGGGATGGAGGCGGGGAGCTTCCTTCTGGGTGCTGGGACCGGCTGAGCTTCTCTGCCCTAGGGGCCTGGGATGGAGGCAGGGGAGCTTCTGGGTGCTGGGACCAGCTGAGCTTCTCTGCTCTAGGGGCCTGGGATGGAGGCAGGGAGCTTCCTTCTGGGTGCTGGAACTGGCTGAGCTTCTCTGCCCTAGGAGCCTGGGATCTAGCCCTACAGATCTGAGATCCAGTGCAGGGTGGGCCAGAAGGTTTAGGTGGGAGTGAAGTTCGTAACAACGGAAGAGCTTCTTGAAAAATAATATAAAATTACAAATATAAAAACAAAACCCAGAGCTTGAGAGTGTGGGTCCCTGAAGGCTGAGCTGCATCCTGTGGTCTTTGCAAGTGGCTGGCAGCCCCTTGGGGGCTTGGGATTGGTCTGGGGATACCTGGGAATGCAGGGTTAGAGAAGACACTCTTGGTAATGGGAAACATTCATTGATTCATTCACCTGTTCATTCATTTAACACATATTTGTTGTAACCTCAGGCACATCCAGCCTCGTGTTAGGTGTCAAAGGGGACGTAAGAGGTGAAGTTGTCCTTCCCTTCAAAGAATTAAACTAGGCAGGCTCTTGAGACAGAAGAGATAGAGGCAAAGTTAGTGGATTAAGGCCAGTCTTCCGGGGATAAGAGTGAGTGACCCAGAGATGGAGGGGCTGTGACCGCTGTCACTTTGTTATCTTTCCAAACAGTCACCTTCTGGGTATCTCTTTTCTTCCTAATTCCACTATGTCCTTCCCAAATGGCAAGCTTGTCTGAAGAGAATAATGTTCCCCAAGAGGCCACAGTAAATATGATGCCAGAGTTCATTAAATGAAGGGACAAATGAGGAAAAGCACCTGGATGCTAGAGAAGGAAAGGGATGTGAGTCCTAAGTAACTGCAGAATTTGCATACAGGGAGTGGAGGTGGGAGAAGAGGCCTGGTCCTGCGAGGTAACAGCCAGACTCTATCTGCTAGAAAGCAACCTCATATTTGGCAAATCTTGTCAACTCATAAAACCCCAGCTATTAGAAGGAAGAAGGAAATTGAGTTAAACCCTAGGAAGGTCATGTGACTTTATCTAAGTAGGGTGGTTTTACCAAGTATGAAAAACTGAAAGAAATGGAGATTGAGGATATGAGGAGAATGAGGATATGAGGAGAGGTGGGTGCAGGAAGGGCCACAACCCCAGGAGAATCAAGTGGGTCTAACCCACTCTCCGACCTGAGGATGTGTCCTTGGCAACGAGCTGATGTAAACTGGGTTAGCAGAACTGTAGCATAGAGATGGTCTCATGAATTTTTTTTTTTACTTCTATCACTAATGTGTGTGTGTGTGTGTGTCTTTCAATTCCTTTGGTTCAAAATTCCCTTTTTACACTGATGTGCATGTAACACATGAATTGTAGGTGTGTCAGAGCAAAATAGCCACTACTCTGGGCAACATGAGATCCGAAAGTCTTGGTTTACCTCAGTAATTTGACATCAGTCCATTGATGCAGTGTCTGAACTGCCATTCCTTTCAGTCTCTTCTTGGCTGCCTTCTGTACATTGTGTTCTCCTCATCTACCATGAATAAAGTGAATAAAGGGTGATCAGCAGCCTGCTTATTTGTGAAAGCTGTGCAGTGGTTTCCCAAATCCTTCCCAAGCAATGTGTTTTCGATTCTGGAACCTGTGTCTTGCATCTTCCTACACCTCTGCCCTGGACATACTGGTGACAATCTGGAAATGTCTCCCTCATTTCACACACCCCTCTTCACCCTTGGAGCTCTCTGTCAGCTGCCCCATGAGCCCAACTCTGCTGCCAGATTGGACCTAGTCTTCCAGTGGTAGCTCAAAGGTCAATTCTTTAGGGACATGTTTGGACTACCTGGGTAGTTTCTCTCCCACGGGGCTTTGGTAATAGCTCTAGGGGCAACTGTCCCATGTGTGGTGGTATCTGCTTCACTGACAGGTGAGGGCAGCAATATGTCTCATTCATCACTGTATTCCAAGCTTCCACCACCCCAGTCCAGGGCCTGGTGCCTAGGCTCCCCTCAACAATGGGTCACGGAGTGACCCAGTAACTTTTAAGATCCACAACTCATGGTTTATGTCAATAATTTGACATCAAGCCAGTAGCTCTTACGCTTTTTAGACATGAGTCATTGGAGTTCTCATGAGTCATTGCATTTAGCAACAGGAGAGTCGCCGTATCTGCGCTACCGTCACTTTCATTCTCTTTTGTGCCTTGAGTTCTCTTTATCTACCATAAAGTGGAGACAAGGAGACTAAGAGTGAAGGAAAAGGTAGCAATCAAATTAATTTTGCTACTTCTTCCCACTCAGTCACCAACATACAGCATGATGTTGAGGCCAAGAAGGATAAAGATTTGTAGTCACTTCTACAAATGGCCACACACTCCCCTATATTTATGAGCAGATGATTCACCTGTGATGAAAAGCTGGTTTGCCTGGTGGTGCCTGGAATGAGCCTCCCCATGCCAAGTGCTGACCAAGCTCTCAGCATCCTGAGTGCAGGCCCATTGTCTGGCTCAATGCCCTGGTATCTTAAGCACTTGAGTGTCCAGCTCCCAATTTGCATGTGACACGGGTGCTACAAACCTGGGGAACCCAGGAGGTCAAATCAGAGGTCACAGAGTGCCACCTGCTCCCTTACCCCACTAGAACTCACACATCCCCAGCTCCTGCAAGCCCACATTCAAGGAAGGAAGAGGTAGGGAGGGACTAAGGGAGAGGTGGGAACACAGGAGGGTCCCTGAATGCTTCACCTATGCCAGTCAGGGCTGGCAGTCCTCAGGGAGATCCTAGACTGGGCTCATGCTGACAGCAGCCACCCATCCCGTGGCTCATGTAGCCCCTCCCCTCAGCTTGTGTTCTCCACTCGGCTCAGCTGCAAGTCAGCCATGCTGTATGTTAGCAGCATCCAGTCACACAGCTTTGCCCTCAGCCTGACCGGCAGCACTGCCCACAGCTCTGTTCACAGCAAGCACCGTTTTGTTGTCGCCTCAGCTGCCGGAGCCCATGTGCCCCCAAGAAGTGGGAATGAGCCCTGTGGCAGCGAAGGGAGGGGGCACTGTGGACTGGGGTCTGGGCTTCTTCCTGCTAGAGGACGGTCCCGGCTGGTGTCCTGCTGCCTCCACCAGAGCAGTCCACACAAGCCTCACCTCCTGTCTGCTCCTCACACCTCAGTCACCCCTTCCCCACCTCTGAGGTTTGTAGCCCTCTGCCTCAGCACACTGTGAGGCTGTTCCTGACAATGTTCGTTGACAGAGGCCAGAAAGAAGGGATCCCAGACAGGAGGGACAGGGAGGAGCACGTCTACGTCTGAAATAGTTGGGCACACTTGAGCATGAGCCCTAATCTGTTGTGACATTTGACAAACTCAGCACCTATTATATATATTATCGCTCCGAGTTTCTTAACTGGCTTCTAGGGGAAAAGCCACACTTCTCTCTGCCAGTTGCTTAAGAAGCTTATCTCTTCCTCCTACATCTACAGCCGTCCACACTTAATAACCAGGTTCCCTCCTGCCCCTGTCCATGCCCTAGGATCCCAGGCCTCCTAGGCCCCTGGTCTATATGGCAAACTGTCTGCACCTGTCCTGTTTGTCCCCCGGGAAGTATTGGTCCCTTGTGAAGGTGTCTCTGAATGGCCTAGACAGACTTGTTTCTCTGTCGCCACCTCCTTTTTATGGTCTGTTGGACCTCGTTCCCGGATTAGATTAGCAACGATCTCTTGAAGCACGACACAGTCATGAGAACTTATTGGAGAACTTTATTTTCCGGCCAGGACCCGTGTACACTCCAACCGAGCCGGCTTACCCAATGCACCAGAAATCCCTTTCCCGGTCAGGCAGCTTTGCCCCACTTCAGCCTCTCGCACCTGCTGTATCCCCTGCCACACCAGATGGCGCTGGGGAGCAGGAGTTTGAAGAGGTGACCTACACTTTCCCGCTGATACTTTGGTTGTGTCTTGCAGGGCCCCGGCCCCATCTTCTGCTCACTAGGTGGCCTTGTGACCACGCCCACCCCACCATAAGCACAGAGGAAACCTCTTGATAAATCCCCAAGGTTAGCCACCTTGGACCCTGTATCCTTGTCGCAGGTCACTCACAAAAGATCTCAGCAGAAAAATCCTAAAATGGAAATGATCCTCCACATTTGCACAGGAAGGAAGAAAAAGCTCCTAAGCCCAGGGAGCAGAGGCCACAGAAAGGAATTCTGAGAGACACGGAATGCAAGTAGCCTGGAAGCCACCGAGATACGCCCAGCTCTTCCACAGTGGGAAAGTACTGGTTGCTCTGCCTGTTGTCTGGCCTGCCTCCCCCAGCCCCAGGACTGACCCCCTCGAGGTAGGCACCATATCTCATTCACTCCCTACATCTGGCACATGCTATTCTCCAAGGAAGAAGCAAGGAATGGAACCTGAAGTTCCAGGGAGGGGACATGGCCCA